TGCTTGTGGTCCTTTCTTTCCTTGTCTTTTCATACTGCTCACGTTTCTTTCTGCTTGGTGAAACTGTTGTGTTATTGACTTTTCCCCCTATATATCAATGTGCCTACCACGCTGGCAGGCCGCTGGGCCTGTTCTGCCGGTCGGTAGCAGGTCTGCCTACCTTGCAGGTGCGGTCGGTGGTTCTGCCCCTCCACGGGCCACTGGGCCTCTGTGTGTTGGTTGCAGGTCTGTCTACCTTGCAGGCGCGGGGGACAGCTCTGCCCCTCTGCGGGTTGCTGGGCCTGTTCTGCTGGTGGGTCGCAGTTCCGCCTACCTTGCAGGCAAGGGCGGCGGCTCTGTCCTTCCCCCAACCGGGGCTATGTATCTACCACGCTGTCGGGCCCCTGGGCCTGTTCTGCTGGTGGTCGCAGGACCGCCTACCTAGCAGGCAAGGGCGGTGGCTCTGCCCCTCCCCCAACCGGGGCAATGCATCTCCCCTGATGGGATTAACTGAGTGGTTACTGAAGGTAGGAAGGGTGTGACTGAAGGAGGTAGGCATGGGGGGGAATCCCTTTTGGGTATATATTTTTTTATCTGGAGAGTGGAGTCTCTCTCTCTCTTCTTTCTGATCACCATGTGAGATGCTTCCTCTGCCACACTCTTCTGCCACGATGTTTTTCCTCACCTGAAGCCCTGAAGAATGGAGCTGGCCTTCTATGGACTGAGGCCTCTGAAACAGTGAGCCCTCAAATACACTTTTCTTTCTCTAAAATTGTTCTTGTCAGGTCACAACAGCAAAAAAGCTGATTAAAACATTAAGGTTTGCTGTTTTCATTTATTGGTGTCAAATTATTGCTTTCGTGACAGAATCCCACCTCTGAAATTATAATGATAAATCTAGGAACATAAGTTAATTTATAGAATTTCATTTCAGACACTCTGTGGTAGGGTTAGCATGATTGCATTGTTTGAAATAAATGCATGCCAAGAAGCCTGGTGCACCTAAATGACTTGCTTCTTTCTTTCAAGAAACCTATTGAAAAGTCTACTATCATTGCTTCTACCAATTCAGAAAGACTGATCAGTGCATAAACAACATTTGGTTAAGCAGAAAGATCTTCACATGTTTAAAATGTTCATGGGTGGAGGTCTATTTATTGGGAACAGGTTTACACTAGCATTTCATAACCTATCTGATTCCTGGGCTCTTGGCAAGATGTTTTTCCTTTAATGTACATGATTTATGTAATAGTACACATATGATTCATGTATACTTCTAGACTTGGCATGGAGCCTGTTTTGCTGTGTATATTATTGTCTTACCAGATCTCTCTGTCCCTGGGACCCACACCAAGTCTTGTTTAGATTTTAGGGAAAATAAGGGCATTTTGCTGCTGTTACAAAATAATCATTGCAAGTGTTTCAGTGTTTACATGAGATAACAGTCCTGCAGAAAGAAATGCCAGTTATTTCTTCACAGCTGTGTGGCACCACCCAGCAGCCAGAGAAGGTGGAGTAGGTTTCACAGCTCTTTCCTCCTGCTACGCTTTAAGCCATGTGACTCAAGCTAAGATGACACCAAATTTCAGGAGATAGAAATGTGTTCTTAGAACAGGGAATGTACATATTAAATTTCTGTCTTGCTTTTGAAGAAATTTACACTTAAAATTTATTTTTTCAGTTGTCTCTTTTCTTCATCAACTCTAGCTGAGTTTATGCTATTTGAGTATATAAAATAAATTAAGTTGCTAAAATAAACCCTGAATAACTACAGAACATACATGAATGTCACCTTGGAAAAAAAATTTTTTCCTTGCCATAAACTAAGTATAATAATACAATATTAGTCCTTGAAAGAGTTCTTGTCTGTTCCACTTGGGCTTTTATGTTTAAACACTAAACACTTTTTCGTATAATATCAATCTCACAAGTACAATCAAAGTATTTTGGGTAATTGTGCTTTCTCTAAAAGCTGTTCGTTCAGTTGAATTAACAAAGAACAGATTTTTCTTTCTGTTTGCTATATAGCACTAGAGGAAGACTTGATTACTGTATACAATCATGACCTGCATAATGACACTTTTATCAGCTATGGGCTGTGTATATGATGGTGGTCCCATGGATTACATTGCTAAGTGACATTATGGTTGCCATAGTTTGTGCACTTTATAATGTATGTACGACAAAATTCCATAGCAACATATTTTTCAGAATGTGTCCCTGTCATGAAGCAATGAATAGTTGAAAACTTTGCCTTTAAGATTTTTTTTTAGTCATGTTGGTGTATGTGTGTGTGTGTGTGTGTATGTATGTGTGAGAGAGACATAGAGTATTTTAAAAGCAAACTACTACCTCTATGCCTTTGGTAAATTAGCACTCTTAAAAAAAAAAAACAGGTACCTTGCAACTTGTTTTGGAAGGGGGAGCACAGAATCAGGAAATCTGAGTTCTCCTTCCACCACTGATATGCCTCTGGGTGTGATGTTGAAGAAACATTTTCTGGGACTTGGCTTCCTGATCTTAAAATGAGAGACAATAGGATTTTATTACAAAACGGCTTCCCAACTCTCAAATTTCACAATTCTCTGAAATAAAATGAGTTTTCTTAGTTCACTGATCCTTACAAAATAAAATGATAATGTTTAGTAGTCATAACCATTGGAATGATTTGTTATATCATTTTCTTCTCCAGAAGAAAGGCATGCAAATTGTAGTTTGTCCTACAGGACTCAGTCTACATTGAGAAATATTTTTTTTTTTCTTCTCCATCCACTTAGCAAGCCTTATCATTTTGTAACGTATTTTCAATCTTTTGGATATTGTAATCAAAATTGCAATTAGACCTGTTTACCAAAATCAACACATCATATAATAAAGATTTAAAAATTATTTTCTCTGAGAGGAATAATATAGTTTGTACATATATATACTATTTTATTATCTGTCTTCATATCAGACTATAAGTTTCAGGAAGCAGGGATCACTTCTGTTTAGTTCACAATTACATCCTTGAGTTTAGCATGGAGGCTGCCCAGCTCCTAGAGTGTATTACATGAAGGAAGAAATTTAGTTGATCAGGCTGACTAGGGTGGTTCTATATCAGAGACCATATGTCATCATGGAATCATCCCAGAATTGTCCATAAAGAAAATATATGGCTCACATGAAGTCTATCTGAGTTCTTTGGTTTGTATGGCTGATGGGGCCACATTTTTTTTTATTTTTTTATTTTCGAAGCTATTGATGTTCTCCTTTTCGGAGGAGAATGGAGATGGCATTGATCTGTCATGATCAATTTTTCACCACCCCTAGGTGTGAGAGAGTTTTTAGACGTTTCCTGTATGGGCTTTGATCTGTAGAGAAAGGCTATTTATAAACCAGACTTCAGCAGCCACCTTGTGAGGTCTCTTTGGTCCCTTTCATGTGATCTTCGATGACTTCATATTAGTCCCTAACCTCCATTTACTGAAGTACTTGGCCGAGCCATCTGACTCATCACCCTGTACAAGGACAGTGTGACTCACACCAATAAGCCGGAAGCAGGCCTGAATCGAGGCAAGGCTAGAGTCAGGACACAACTAATAGATGCTGGAAGTGTTGACGGAAACCACTGTTGCAGAGGAACAATGCGGGCTGAGCTTCAGTCCCCGGCTATGACATCATGACCGAGAGGTGAGCACTCCCTTGCATCAGATATTTTGGTTGTTTGTTTTATAATTTTCTTTCAAAAATCCTGTTAACTGTGCAATGCTTAGATGCTAGCAATACAGTGATACTTTTTTGAAGAATTCTGCCAGGATTAGGGTTGGGTAGTGTTGAAAGCAAAATAATCTCAAATCCCCTTCCTTTCATTCTTTTATTCCCTCCCTCCCTCCCTCCCTCCCTCCCTCTTTCTCTCTCTTCCTCCCTCCCTTTTTTCTTGCCTCCCTTCCTTGCGTCTTTCTTTCCATCAGGGTGTTACAGTGAACAGGCTTGAGTTTGAGTCAGGCAGTTTTAGTTATTATCTAGAATCTTGATTGACTTGGCCATTTTCTTTCGAATCACTTTAACCTCTCTGAGGCTCGGTTTCCTACCTGTTAAAAGGCAGATAATACATCGCAGTGTTGTCGGGAGGCTTAAGTAATATCTTATGGATAGCTGCTATTTGTTAAACACCAAATAAATGCATTATCTAAAGGAGTCTTCACAATAACTTTTCAAGTAAAGTGTGTGGTACATGGTGGGTGACATAAATAACAAGGTGAGGGTCACCATACCTTTCACCTCCAAAGTTGCTGCTACCAAAGTGAAACATGTCAGTCACTCACATAGTCATTCAACACGCATTCCTTGAGAAACTTCTATGTACCAGGTATTCTAGATTACTCAGGGGAAAATGAAGGGCCAAGAATAAGGAAAAATTACTAACTTTGAAGGGTGATAATTAGCAGAGATTATAAATACACACCATCATCACTGTGAAGAGTACTCTGAGAACAAGAAATGCAGACTGGGTGTGGTAGGATGGGCCCTGGATTCCAATTTGGGGAATTGAAAGAGGTTTCCCTGGAGAAAAAAAATCACACATTCACACTGAAAAAGGAAGGACAAATAAGTGGGAATTAGAGGTTAGAGTGTGTTCTAGAGAACTGTATATGCAAAAAGCTATTGGGTTGAGAGGGGCTTCGATCCTGGAGAGAAATCAAAAGCGGTTCCTTCTGGAATTTGAAGCGATGAATGATGAGAGTAGAAGCTAGTGATAAGCAGGACTTCCGGGTCACAGGAGGGCTAGGGATCCATCTCAGGGATACCCTGTAATAGCTGTTACTGAGTTCTCAGTCTCCGTCCCTTATCTTAGTTTGGGGACAAGAGCCCTACTGTGCTGCTGACCACCTGGACCTCTGATATGAGTGGGCAGAGGGTGATGTGGCTAACCCCACCCTTGTGTAATCTCTTGCCTGTGTTCTTGCTTCTGAGAGACAAAGGCTAGTTACGGGGCTGGATGTTGTGGGTCAGTTGGCTCTCTCTATCGTCCCTACCCTAATCTGAGAAGTACTGAGCTATGGCTCCAGGACGTTCTCATTCAGGCTCCTTATAGCCAGCACTGTACAGTCAGGAGCGCCCTCAGAGCAAGGTGCAGAATCAGTCAGCTCTCACACCACATGGCCTTCGGGAATCTCCATGCCGTTGGAAAACCTGAGCAAGTCAGACTCTGTGACATGATAGCCTAATTACCATTTCCCTTTTCTTGGGAGGGGAGAGAGAAATGACATATAGATTGCCCAGCTAGATCAATGAGTGAGGTGGAAGACTGATTCATTTATTGACTCACAGAGAGTTTTTCCTTGAGCCAGTGCAACAGAAAGGACCATCCTTGTAGCTGGGTCTGCCCTGGAGTGCTGAGAAGTCTGAACTGTGCCCAAGGCTCAGAGACAGAAAAGCAAGGAGGTGTTTTACAACGAGTCCCTCCATGCTCACCTTGCTCTTGTGCAGGCATACCAGAGATAATTAACCCTGAGGAAGGAGACCCTGTATTCATTGTCCATGTGCAGACATTTTAAGAGTGAAAGGGGCTGCTTTTAATTGGTATATTGGGATGCCAGGCATAAACTGGGAATGTTTTAGGCCAACCAGACATATGGTTGCCCTAACCATATGACTACCTAGTAGTCATTGGCCTGATGACGACTCCCTAGTTGGTGCTATCTGTGCTTAAGGAGAGATCCTAGGGCCAAGATGTTTCTGGATCTTTTTTTTTTTTTTTTTGCATCTATTTTTTTTTTCACATTCTCAAAGGCAGTTTTTGGAACATTCTTCATTTTTTGAGATCCTTATGTTTCTGAGAGGTCAGTGTTAGCCAATTTAATCCAAGACAACTGATTTCTATTCAAAGCAGAGGAAGGGAGTGGTTAAAATGGACAGTTTGAAGGGAAGATAATTTTGAAAAGGACAACTTCAGCTGTATCTTCAGGCTCCTTATAGTCCTTTGGTAATTAGAATGCGCAGGCTGAGACATCATTTTTAAAATCATCTTACCCATAAATCATCTATCACACATTATTAGCTCGGATGACACCAGTCTACATGAGTGGGGATCATTATTTTTGTTATTATTGTTTGTCCAGAGGGGTGACAAGGAAGAATATGCATCACACTCACCTGCCAGACAAGAGTTAAGCAGGTGCTTTTTTTTTGATTTATAAGGTGTTTCCTTCTAAACATATTTCTTAGTAAAACAATTTTTCAAATGTAATTTTTCCTTGAAGCCAACCCCATCGCTGATGTAGTATTTTCCTGCACCTCAAATTAAGTAGGCCATGGGAGAATTTGGTGACCAAGTGTCACTATCACTTGGCATTACAGTGTAATATAATATAGTGTAGTATCGTATCATATCATATCGTATCATATCATATCATATCATATCATATCATATCATATCATATCATATCATATCATATCATATCCTTTTTAGTATTCTGTAGCAGAGGCTCTCAGTTGAGGGTGGTTTTGCTCTCAGTGGACTTTGATCATGTTCCACACGGCTTTGCTTGCTCCCACAGGGGTGGGTGCTATTGGCATCTAGTTTTTAGGGGCCAGTGATGTTGCTAAACATATTAGAAAGGCACAGGACAGCCCCCCCAAGCAAATTCATTATCTGGATGTAAATGCCAAAAATGCTGAACTTGAGAAACTCCTCTGTAACATCTTAATCCTTAATTTATTCATCCAACCAATATTTACTGAGAACCCACTATGTCCCAGCCGTTAGAATGCTGAGGATATTGGGGTGAACGAAACTGGAGGAAAAGTTTTCACTTTTGTTTTTCTTTGGATTCTAATAGGAGGAGCAGATAAGAAAGAAGATAAATAACTAAAATATTGAGCATATCAGAAAGTTATGTGTAGAAGGCAAAAAAAATAAAAAAATAAAAAAATACAGCTGAGCAGTGTGTGGGGGGGAATGTCAGTAGAGAACAGTGAGATTGAAGCCTGAGGTCACTTGGCAAGGTAAGTGCATTTCTCACTGATGGCGGATGAAGGATCTGAGTGAAGGACTGAGAGATAAGGCTAGGACTCCAGGTTGGATGTTTCTGACTCTTTGGTGATCTAAAATGTTATTTCCACTAAGCTGTTTTATATATTATTGCCAGAAGCCAGGGTTGTCCTTGCTTCCTTTTGATGAAGTTCCTCTTTCTTAACTCACTGATAACCACCTTCAGCCCTACCCAAAAGCCTTCATTTCTAGCATCTATGCTTTTGTTGCTCAGAACATTTCTGGACTGTATCCTCGTCCTAGACTCATTACCATCATTAAATGCACTCAACTCAATGCTCTCTTCTGTTGAAACAAGAAAAACAAAATCGAGCTTGGAATGTAGCTTAATGGTAGAGAACAACCCAGCATGTGTGAGGCTCTGGATTCTATCCCCATCCCTGAAAAAAAAAAAAAAAAAGACAACAATAACAAAAACAACAAAACATAAAAATGAAAAGAAAAAGTCCCAAAGGCCCAATCTTAACCCTAAATGCTCCTCTGGCCTCATTTCTCCTTCCTTTCATAGGTAAGTATAAAAAGATGTTCCGACACGTCGCCGAAGAATAAATATGATCGGCCAACAAATATATGAAAAAATGTTCGACATCTCTAGCAATTAGAGAAATGCAAATTAAAACTACACTGAGATTTCATCTCAGTCCAGTCAAAGTGGCAATTATCAAGGATATAAGCAACAATAAATGTTGGTGAGGATGTGGGAAAAAGGCACATTCATACATTGCTGGTGGGACTGCAAATTGGTGCAACCACTATGGAGAGCAGTATGGAGATTCCTCCAAAAACTTGGAATGGAACTACCATTTGACCCAGTCATCCCACTCCATGGCCTATATCCAAAGGATGTAAAATCAGCATTCTATAGTGATGCAGCCACATCAATGTTTATAGCAGCTTAATTCACAATAGCTAAACTATGGAATCAACCTAGGTGCCCTTCAACAGATGAATGGATAAAGAAAATGTGGCACATATACACAATGGAATATTGCTTAACCTTAAAGAAGAGTGAAGTTATGGCATTTGCTGGTAAATGAATGGAACTGGAGAATATTATGCTAAGTGAAATAAGTCAATCCCAAAAAACAAAACGCAGAATGTTTTCTCTGATAGGCAGATGCTAACAGTAAGGAAGGTGGTGGGGAAAAAAATAGAAGTATTTGGATTAGACAAAGGGGAATGAGGGGAAGGGAGGGGAAATGGGAACAGGTAATGTAGTAGAATGAATTGTACCTTGCTATCCTATGTGTGCATATGATCACACGATGTAATTCTACATCATGTACAATCAGAAGAATGAGTTATACTCCATGATTGTATATGTCAAAATACATCCTACTGTCCTGTATAACCAATAAGAACTAATAAAAAAGAAATATTCTCCATATGTGCTTTCTCCGTTCTTTACACTCCCCAATTGACTTGTAATGGGGTAAACCGTCCCTTGAGGTCACCAGTGATCCCATGAACTCCACCTGTGCAGGCTGTTTAGTCGGTGGCTCTTTCTTCCTAGGTCCCAGCCGCAGCGATTGCTGCCCAGGCCCATTCTCTGTTTGGACCTCACCTGCTTCCTCTCCCTTGACTTCCATCTCGTAGCTCTCTGGGGTTTCCGTCTTCCTCTGACTTCTCCTTCCAGGGAACCTTCATGGGTTCCTCTGTCACTCCTTGACTCAAGGTGTCCCCCAGCATCCGGTCCTCTGCTTTCTTTCCTCATCAACTGCGGCTTGTACAGAAGTTTTGTTTAGAGAAATCCGAAGCCCTGTGACATAGTTTGTCATTTGCCTAGACATGGGTGTGATGCGGTGCAGGGAAGGTGTGATGTGTGGGCACGAGGACCATCTCCGAGGGGAATGCAGCAAAGTAGCCACTATTTTCTCCCTTTACAGCTCAGGACCCTGCTCAGAGTCCACAATGCTACCCTCAGCTGGATGCTGGCCAGAGCACAGCAAAAGGATGGTAAGAGCTCTCTAATGGGTCTCTTTCGTCCCAGTTGTAGCTCTTTCTTTTGCTCTTGAACCTGGTCATGACCCAGATTCCACCCCTTCATCTTTCATGACATAGCCCCCCTCCACTCATGTTTTCATGCTACTGCACAGTTCTCTATCTGCCTGCACTTCCTCCCCTCCCCACCCCTGCTCCACACAGTTGACCTTGGGAAGTCCTTCTCATTCTGCAAGGCTTACCGCAAACATCACTTTTGTGTCCCTTTCTAGATTTCTAGAAAAAATTTTTATCTCATATATATACTCTCATGCCACCTGCATCCAATTAGGTTGTACATTCCTTTAGGGAATATAGAGGAAGACTCAAGAGCAAAGTTTCTATCCTCAAGAAAGTGGCTCCATAAAGCAAGTATTCACTGTTTTCTTATTTTACAGCTTCCTTGATGCTCCAAAATCCAAATTTTAAAATGTCTGATACTAACTTGCTGTGTGACTCTGTATGTTTCACTTAATGTCTCTGAGCTATCATTTTATCAAACCATATTCTGGCAAATAATATTCTCATTCTAACTCAAAGAAATATATAAAATTCTTTGAGCGTTTGGCAAAAAGATGCTATAAACCAAAGACAAAATACATGATTATTCACTGAAGATTCTATGTAACATTTTTTTATTGTCAGACATTTTATTCAGATCCCAACAAAGTGTAACTATTTCCAAAGAAAAATGTGACCTCTATATATCTTTAAAATTTGAAGCCACTCATAACATAACAAAACTTTGCCACATAATTTTTTTTCTTGTGCGTGAGATAGTCACTCATCTTTTTCTTCCCTTTGTTCCTAATTTTTTTAAAAAAACCTGAAGATTTGCCTTTTACTTCCTTTCCCTTTCTTTCCCCCCTGAAGGGAAAGCATCTCATGTCAGAGGCAGAAGTAGATAAAAAGTTTAAAATTATGTGCTAGATCTTGATCTAAATTTCTCTTAAATCACCAGTAGCACTGTCATGGCCTGAAGAAAAGAAAGTGAATCAATGATGACGGAGGAGTTTGAAGAAAAAAAGATGTGAAGACGAATGCTGGCTAAATTCATTTACTTCATTGTTCTAAATTTTAGGACTCAAATTAATTTCTAGATTATTTTGGTGAAATGGGAAAATGTAAATGTGTGCCAGTGAATAATTGTAAAAGTAAATAACACAAGGGGTGGAATTTTCCACCAGAATCTCACAAAAGTGGGCATTTTTGTTTCCTAGGGAAAACATCCATGAAACTAGCTTCATTCATGGCAAACTGAAGTCTATATAGTATGGGTGGGGGAAAGAGGGAGAGAGAGAGAGAGAGAGAGAGAGAGAGAGAATATGAATATGGATTTACTGATTCCATACCTGTGCTATGTGTTCATCTAACTTAACTTCATTTAATAGTTTACTTCAATAGCTCTATGAAGCTTATTTTTTTGTGCTAAACCAGCTAGAGTTCACTGCAGTTAGTAGTAAGTAGAGTCAAATGAGGAACCTATGGTTTTCTGGCTTCAACACCAAACCACATTGATGTCCTATCATATAGAAAATAAGTGTCATGGCCTTATGCAATTTATAATCCAGAAAAGAAATCCAAATGTCTCTGTAAGACGCAGAGGTGGTGCCACATATTTACCCTTTAAATCCTATAAAATAACTCCATGTATACAGTTATGAACGGTCAGCCACACTGTTGGGAGGGCACTGTTTTGTTTCCCCGGGCGGTGACGTAGAAATGGAGATGCTACTTTGCTAACTTTTTAAAAAATTTCCCCCAGCGTAACATGTCACACGATTCAACCTCTTCACTCGCTGTGCAAATTTGGTAAGATATTTTATTTATCTTAGGTTCAGTTTCCATTTGCAAAATTGAGATGATGATCTTTTCCTTGTAGGCCTGCTCTAAGAACTTAAGAGGAGAGAGAAGATGGGAGGGGACGGGAGGGGAGCGGGGATAGTAGAGGATAGGAAAGGCAGCAGAATACAACAGACACTAGTATGGCAATATGTAAAAACGTGGATGTGTAACCAATGTGATTCTGCAATCTGTATACGGAGTAAAAATGGGAGTTCATAACCCACTTGAATCAAATGTATGAAATATGATATGTCAAGAGCTTTGTAATGTTTTGAACAACTAATAATAATAATAAAAAAGAAATTCCTAATTGACTAAACTACTTAAATGCTTTAATAGCATCCTCTACAAATCTAAGGTACTCAATTACTCATTAAAACAAACAATAATGGTAAAAAAAAAAGAACTTAAGAGTTACTTGGATTGTACGTAGTCCTTAAAAAATGGTGGTTATGATGGTTTGTGGCAGTCATTATTGGCATGTATTTAGATGCATTTGGAGAACTTTCATGGGAGATCTGACTGTGACCCTTAATGGGGCTGCTTCTATACTCACTGACCAATGGTGCTTGTTATGGTTTGGATCTAAAAGTGTCCCTCAAAAGCTATGTGTTAGGAAACAGAGCCGTGTTCAGAGGTGAAAAGATTGGGGGATGAGGCCTGTACTTCATCAGTGGATTAATCAACTTGATGGATTAGTGATCTGAATGAACTACAGGGTGATAACTGTAGGCAGGTGAGAATGGAAAGAGGTAGGTCACTGGGGGCGTGCCTTTAGGCACTATATCTTGTCCCTGGCTCTGCATACTTGCTCTCTCTCTCTCTCTCTCTCTCTCTCTCTCTCTCTCTCTTTCTCTCTCTCCTTCCTGACTGCCATGAACTGAACAGTTTTTGTCCTCCACCACCCACTTCCACCATGATGTTCTGCCTCACCTCAAGCCCAGAACATTGAAGATGACGGGCCAGGGGCTGAATCTCTGAAACAGTAAGCCAAAACGATATTTTTCATTTCTAAATTGTTCTTTTGTTGTTGTTGGTACTGGGAATTAAATTCAGGGGTGTTCAACCACTAAGCCACATTCCTATCCGTATTTTGTATTTTACTTAGAGACAAGGTCTCACTGAGTTGTTTAGAGCCTCACTTTTGCTAAGGCTGGCTTTGAACTTGCAATCCTCCTGCCTCAGCCTTCTGAGTTGCTGAGATTACAGGTGTGCACCATGGTGCCCGGACTAAGATGTTCTTGTCAGGTATTTTGGTCACAGTAATGTAAAGCTGACTAACAGAGTGCTGGGCCACATGATGTGTGCACCAAAGTGCTAAGTAATTGGGTATGTATAGAACAGATAGCAAGGAGGGGAGATAATGGAAAGAAGGAACCAAGAGTTCTTCTAAAAGAACAGTTCACCATTGGTATTTGCCGGCTCTGTATCTGTAGATTTAACCAACTGCAGACCAAAAATATTGAAAGAAAAATTGTGTTTGACTGAACATGTACAGATTTTCCTTTTCATTATTCCCTAGACAATGAAGTATAACAACTTTTCACATAACGTATACGTTATGTTAGATATTATAAGTAATCTGTGCAGATTATATGCAAATGCTGTTCCATTTTACATAAAGGACTTGAATATTGGGATCCTGGAACCAATCTACCTGATACCAAGGAGCAATGACCTTTGCAAAATCAAGCCAAGGAAATGGCAGGGATCTATGGAAAGGAAATGGGAAGGGGCTGGCATGAGACCTGAATTTTTTTTTTCTTTTCTTAATTGAATAATTCCTGGACCACTGGTCACAGAATTCTCCTTCTGGGGAATTCTCTTTCAAAGAACTCGCCTTACAAACACAAATTACAAAATAATGGCATATGTTTTCTCTCCCTTATTTCATTCTTTAATGTAATACCTTTAAAGAAGAAGCTGTTTCACGTAAACCTGATTAACTCTGAAGAGAGTGATAATCCATCCAAACCAATCCAAATGAAGGTAAAAGGAATAATCAGGCTTCCATTATGCAAAATGGTGCTCAGTTAATTTATTGCATTGCGCTGAATAATAAGCTGTTAGGCTCCACATGGCTTTTTTCACGTTAAATCAAATTGCTTATTGCTGCTAGAGCTTATTTCATATCGCATAAAATTTGGATATATTATAATGGAGTAGATATTAGTCCATTATAAGAGACAGGTTTAAGTGCTTCATTTATAGAATCCCTCCACTTGGAAAATGGTAAGGGAGAAGAAGAAATGCAAACAAGGTAATGGACAGAGGGGATTTATGTACATTGCTTGATGGGCCAGCTCTGCCTTGGTGACTGTGGTTGCTGTGCACAGGACCCAGTGCGTTGGAGAAAAATCAGCATTTCTAGTGGAAAGAAAATCCAGAGCGAGTTTATGTTCTTTCTCAGGGAAGTGTTGACATTTTAATTACTTTCTGTTTTCTTTGGAGCTGCATTTGAGAGTTGAAAGCAAGTTAGAAAAATAAGAATTAGCTTTATTAGAAATAAGAGGAATTGACATGTAGACCCCAGTTGGAAAGGGTTGAGGCTGGGTTCTTGACAATATGAAGTCTGCAGCAGGACCCAGAATCCAAGAAAACTCAGCCGCTCGAAGCTAACTGGAAGAGTTCCTGCTTGGTCAGGGCTTATCATCCCGGAGAGCAGACTGTGCCTCTGTGTGCAATCTAATCTTTTCCGGATGTGTTTCACTTTTTAATGTTTTTTTATTTTTCTTTTAAACTTTGGTCTTTCTGTAAACAGGGGTTTGTGAGGGTAAGTAAGATCGAGATACAAAAAAAGAAAATGGTCAGAGGGAGTTGGAATGAGCTGGGGAAATTGATAGTCTTAGAATTAATTTGGAAGATAATATAATTGTCTTTTGATATTTCATAAAAGAAAAATATCTGTGGAGGCGAGGTCGGAACGGAGTAATTGGCTTTAGGAGATATGATATATTTGCACTTTTCCTCCCTGCACCTGGAGTCGCCTGGAATTGATTAAATAAATATTTAACAAACCAGGGCGCCTACATGTATGTTCCAGGATCAGCAATCTAAAAATAGTAACTCAGCACAAGATGGAAATTAAAAACCCTCTAATCAACATCTTTGTGGTGCTCGAAAGGGTGGTAACCTGAGGGTGTCAGCCCTGCCTGCCCCTTGCCTGCCCCCTCCCCAGTGTGGAAACACCATCAGGTTCAGACCAGCCAGTTCAGTAATGAACAGATAAATCTGGTCCCTTAAATAACCTAGTGTCTACTGCATGCCAGGTACTCTAAATATACTTTTTAAATTTTCAGAAAATCATATAATATGATGTTGTCTCTATAATAAATATTATTATTTGTTTTACAATCGAAACTGAGGCTTGGTCAGGTAGAGACTATTTCTCAGTTATGTAAACTTTTATTCTAAAACATTTCAGACATATACAAAAGAATATAAAGTATAATGAGCCACCAAAATTCCTTACTTCACCACTCAGGGATGGTCACATGCAACTGTACCAGTCCCACCCCATATATGACTTCATTGCATCACGTATCTTCCAGTGTGTGTCTCTAAGAGGTAGGGATTCTCAACAATAAAATAAACACAATAACTTTATCACACCTACAAACATTGCCAGTAAGTCATCATTTCAGGAAACGTGTAGTCAGTTTGACTGTATATTCCTAATTGTCTTACAATCTACTAATTTAGGTTTAATCACAATCTATTAACTTTAGATCCAAGCCCTACATTCCGATTGCTTGATTTGTCTCTCAAGGCTTCCTTTAATATATGTGTTCCTTTTTCATCTCCTATTTTTTCTTAGAATCACTCTTTGGTTGAGAAAATGAGATTGTTTTTCCAGGACAATTTCGAATAAGCTGGATTTTCTTGATTCCATTTCCTGAGGAGTTCTCAAACATATTCATAACCTTGTCCTTTGTATTTCCTGTAAAATTACAGTTAGAATTGGAGATTTTATCTGATTCTGGTTCCACATTTTGGTAATACTACTTCTTAAGTAGTGATATTTCCGTAAATAGAAGTGTGTGTGTGTGTGTGTGTGTGTGTGTGTGTGTGTGAGAGAGAGAGAGAGAGAGAGAGAGAGAGAGAGAGAGAGAGAGATTATCAACTCTTAAAAATGTTTATGTGAATCCATTAATGCATTAGTTATAAAAATTGTTGATATCTTAATTTTATAATTTTTTTTAAAAACTTTATTTTCTAGAGCAGTTTTAGGTTCACAAGAAATTGAGTGGAATGTAGGTAACATTCCCACATAATCCACTCTGTATAATCTCATTATCCCCCATGACCAACATCACTCCCCAGAGTAGGTGCTTATTTATGAAAACCAATAAACCTGTATTGACCCATGCTTACCACCCAGAGTTGATATTTTCATTAAAGCTCACAATAGTACATTCTATGTGTTTTGACAAATATAGAATGATACATATCCACAAATGATTTTCTTTTCATTTATTGAATTTCCTCTATGGGGAGAAACTTCACCCCTCATTAACATTTGGTTAGCTGAGAAATCCAGATGAATGTATTCTCATTATTATTATTATTTATTCTAGCACAGTCACTAGCAGAGGAAGGGGATACAATACACACGTCTTCATAAATTGAATTGTATTTGATTCATATTAGAATTTGCTCCAAAGAACCTGTACAGGACAAAGGAGGACACCACAGTATTAACAAAGACTAGAACTTAGTTCCATGAAAAAGCTTAAAAGAATCAAATCTCAGTAAAGCCTCTCAGTACTAAAGTGAACACGGAGGCACTAGTGAATCACACAATTCTGGTATGGCCCCTGGCCAAGTCTCATCAATATTCACCAAAGTATTCTTTCCCCAACACAGGGAAAGAAAGAAAGAAAGAAAAGAGGGACAATTTCTGAATCACTCCCTCCAACCACGGAAATGATTTTAATTACCAATTCATCTGTTGGCAGACTCTTCTGGCAGATGTACCTGCAAGTTGGAAAGATAACAAATGAACCCATTCCTTACTCCAGAGTTGACACTGATAGTGCGGACTGAATTTGCTCTCAGAAAAGAATCCTGGGCAACAATACATCTGGCACTCTGCTCGAGGAATTTGTCATGTCGTTGACATGTTCAGCCTCCATTGTCCATACCACCCCGGCAGCAGGTCCTTTATGTTTCAATGAAATTGCAGTCTGAATTAATATAATTAGAATGTAACTGCTATTCACTGCACACACACTCCTTATTTCCAGGAGTACAGATCTGATAGCATATCTGTGCTCAAAATCTTTCCATGATGGCTGAAGGGGAGCGAGCAGAGAGGGGAATGATAGAACATTCACTAGTTCATCAACCTTATAAAGTATGAGCTAATGGAAATATAGGAGGAGAGAAAGGAAGTCCTGACCTTGGCATGTCTAAAGATAAATATCTGTCAAGTTTCCTAGCCTGGATAGCACTGTTATAAAATATGTACTATAGTCCGTCTGAATTGAGAGAAAGAAGTGAACTAGGAAAGACCAGTTATCTTCCAAAAGACAATTATAGGATGTAGAGTGGATAATTCATGGATAGAATTACAGAATGGAGAGGTGGATGGACAACTTCCTTCTTTCTTTCATGTTTTGCTTTGAGCAGTGGATGTCACTCACCAAGCAACTGTCATCAAGTGAATAATGATTTTTTTTTTTTTACTAGAATCTTGAATTTCAGTCTTCATTAATTTTCTGTTCTTACAAATTCTTGATATGGTAGAAAAGGACATCAACAACTTTTTTTCTTTTCTTTTCTTTTTTAAAATAAGATAGACTCACATTCTCTTAATTGAGTTTGAGTTTTCACTTGGATGATCCATTGGAGGGAAGCACTGCCCTGACATTATCAGTATGTTGGCTTGAGTTCATGGTTTTGGCCTCTTTTCTTCTCTGGAGAACTGTGCAACTTGTGTACTGGATGCTGTTTGCCTCCAAATTCTATATGGAATCCCTAACC